AACGTCGCGCGCTCCGCCACCATACTGTACGACCTCGTCATCTCACTCGGGGGTCGGACTCGCTTCTGAACTGCGTTACGCTGCGATTTTGAGATCACGAGCCTGCAGCCCTATATGTCACGATCACAGCCTCGATGCCGAGTGAGGTTGAAGATAAGCCAGCCATTCTGGAGCCCCTTGATCGTGTCGACATGCCTCGATACCAGCGCGAGAGACATCATGACGTGTTGTCGGGCACACTTTGGAACGTGGATGCATTCATCGAACAGTGCAACACACCCTCTTGCTAGCTGTCACTGCGGACAACATGTGAAGCTGAATAGCAAGCGTCCCCCCCCTCCCCTGGTGTCCTCCTTCCTTCTCGAATCAGAGCTGAAGATTCCGTTTGAGACTCTGCGTCGTTTGGTTCCTGGTTCCTGGCCGCGGTAACCACCGTTTGCTTCCCGGAGCGGGATGTTGCAGCTTCCGGACGACCCGCGACCCGCGACCCGCGTGCCCTGCTTTGTGAGATTTCATAGATCTCGGTACGCTTCGGCTTGGGTTTTTTTCCCTCCTTTTTTGGAGGTGATTTCGGCGTACCTCGCCTCCGGCTCGAAGTTCCGTGTAGGGTAGGGGGAAAGGAGGCTTCCTACAGCTTCTCAAACGTTGTTGTCTGGTAGGATCGAGGTCACGCCGTAGCTTGCGGTTTGGTGCCCGACGTAGGCAAACTGATCTGACGTTGTTGTTTGTAAGATAAGGGGCGGGGGGCTACAAATAGATGCCATCTCAGTCTGAATTTCCCAGACGTGCTTTCCATCCCTTGGATCTTGTATTCATTCGATATAATCACATTCATTTCTTACACGCCCGTCAAGATACCAACGAGCCAGCCTCAACCTTCGTTTCCAAGTCTACTCTTGACACTCTCAGCCGCAACTATCACCGGTTACCGAGATACCCTGACGACCGCAAAGTCGTACAAGTCGAAGAGAATCCATCAACTAGCAGAGCTACTCCTCCGGGCGCCAAGTCTCAACCACACTAAAGAGAGACAGAACCAAACACATCCCCTGAAGTACAACAATACTCATCCACCCACGACTTACACCCAACTACAAGCTTCATAATGTGCCAATACTACGCTCACGCCTTCACGTGCAAGCACCTCTCCTTCACGTTCGCCCGCTTCTGTCAACCCGCGAGCCTCATCCAGAAACCCTGCGCCAAACGGCAGGTATGGCAGACCATTGGCCTCGACGACGCCTGTGAGGAGTGCTTGACTTGGTTCCCTGACCAGTACCCGTGCCGGAGACCGCGGTATCAGTGAGCTGAAGGGGTAAGGGACTGTTGTCGTAGGTCGATAACGTGGGCCGAGACGGGTAGGATGTTGTCGTTTGGCTGGTTTCCTAACGACGTGATGATTATTTTGTAGAGGAGGTTTGGAGTACTTAGAGGAAGAGCAAGCTGCTTCAAGTCTGGTCTTTATTTCGGGTTATTTGGAGTTATTGTGTCTGGCGTCAGCTATGGGCTATAAAAGGTGAAAAGGTTTAGAGGTCAGATTAGGTATTTCGCAGGGGATGAACGGAATCAAACGATGTAGACGGAGACAACATGTAGAAAAGCGAGGGCGCGGGATTCACCCCCTGGAAAACGCCACTTGATAACTTCATAATCACAAGCCGAAAATGTATAATCTCCACGATGTTTGAATATTCTAGTGACTCGAAATGACTGTCGTGGTTTCTGTGTGCGTATCGCTTCTTCTGATCCTTCATCTATGCGTAGTTCTGGTAGTAGATCAATTGTTACGAATGATGGCGGTGGCATGTTTTTGAGGCAAGTCTTGACCTTGTCCGGTCATGTCAAAACCCGTGTGAGCTCAACGTCGTTTGTGGCGGTCTTGCTTTCATGCAAGGATGTCAGCCGAGTTAACACTGGTCTCGTTATATTTGCTCTATCGATCTTGTGCGTAAACAAATTCATTGATACCAAGCGTCATTTTGGACTTGGCTACTAAGGACGATATGCCAATTTGATATGTCACCACTCACGGCGTAAATGTTATATGTTGTGACACACGTATACGTCAGTGTAGAAAATTCCTCGATATTATGAAGGCATCAGACGATTCTGTTTCGTCATTAGAGTATTCGGAAGTGAATGCTTCTAGAGCTATGCTGAGGCGTGGTGAAGAAGAAACGATAAATGATGTTAAAGATCAGAGCTTTTCCTAATAACATGAATCCTTCCTTGCCCGAGCATATCTCAATCACTAGCTTAGACCCAATACTCGCCTTTACCTCGAGTAAGAAAGAGAAAGCATTGCGATGTTTCCTCTGTTCAGATAGCCGTCTCTATAACATAGTTAGAGACGGCAACACACGGTTAAATCGGATGTCAAGACGTCCATGGGGGTCTTATGTTTCAGTGTGGGTCTTTGGTATCTGATCAACAGCGCGCTGGCATCATCAGTTGGCGAAGAGCGGTGTGCCAGTCGGTGCCAGCAGTAGTGCGGGTGAAGGTGTTCTCGATGCTCCATTCAGCTTGGTACATACCGTGTAGCTTTGATTTAGATAGCTAATCCGGGAGTCAGGAATCTAAGATATGATTGTTCTTAAGTCAGCGCTGTTCATAAATCAGCAGTATTGTATAACAAAACATCTGCAGATGCGTGCTGCGTGCGCAACTGTCCGGATCGGATTCTTCGCGTGGTCACTCAGGTAATAAATGGGCAGAAACAGAGTGTCGATTACCTTCACCTAGTATTTTGACCTCGACCAGTATACCTTTATGTGCTCCGCCTCCATGGCGCCTTCCCCAGTGGCATCATGAAAGCCTACCTGCCTCAAGTACCTCAAGTCCGACGAGGAAGGAGTAGAAGGGTGTTCACCCTCCTTCGTACCTTCCCGTGCACACATGCCCACTTACAAGCCCATATAGGCCCCGTCATTCCCATTCCAGTCAGCAGCCACCAGGTGCCCTCTAGGTCAGGGGTCAGTTCAAACTGGCTAGGTGGTGGGGTGGTTCATGGTCAGCAATCAATTTATACGCCAACCAGCCTACTCGACGACAGGCTTAGCGAGTACCCGAGTTCGAATACCAGCATGAGCGCCAGAGATGTAGCCCCCAGTTGAGCACCGGGGGGGGGGGGGTGAACTCTTTTGCTATTGGGGTTAGTGTTGGTGATGTTTTTTTGGAGTGGTTTGTAGGTCCCTTTTGATGTATTACCAACTAAGGTAGCTGCTCTTGCTCTTATTAATCTACAATTAAGTGTAGAGTGACGAAGCAAGATCTTAATGCGGAGTTGAAGGAGGCCCAAGACCTAGTCTAGAAGGCGACCTACAATTCATAATGTAAGCGACTGCTTGACTGAGTGAGGCACAAGGCAGCCCGATCCAGGAGTAGATTTGCTTGCCAACGTCGAAGGTTGTCACGTTTTGAAATACACGGCAGCCTAGAATTGACTATATGTACTCTATTTTACTCTCCCGTAGTGGGTGGCTTTTGTATTTAGAGCCGGATATCACCAAGCTGAAGGAAATCTCCATGATAATTGAGAACTCTCAGTACGGTCACTTCAAGCACCTCAACAATTTCGATCGATGCCTGGACAAAACAAACAAGAAATCACCAGATGTTAGGCATCGTCACATAGGGACAACTTGCCGCCTCTTGCCTTCTGACGCCATTTCAAAGGCATGGGCTCTGCCATGTAAGAAACGTACGTTCGTCCGACCAAGCATGACCATCCAAGGTCACCTTTACCTCGGCGTCATGAGATCGAGGATTCCCCGAATAGTCGAGCAGTAGTACATCGAGGCCAAGAAAGCTGAAGGTTAGATAGTAGGCAGACAGTCCACGTTACTGACCTTTCTGCTGATGTTGATCGCGTGCCTGTTCTGGTCCCAATTCCATTTGTCAGAGGGTATGTTGGACACTCGAAATACGGCAATCATGTATCTGTAGAGGCAGCACCCAGATATGAGTCACGTCAAAACGACTTGCTTCCACGTTGCAAGCCCGAGACAAATCAGCTGCGTGTAAGAAAAACGTAACCACCCCTTCCCTTCCCAACTCACACACGCCAAAGTCAAATGAGTCAGGACATTTCTCTCCCAAATGGCAAAACCAAGACAGACCTTACCATAACCTGCTTCAAAATATCCAGCATCCAGCCACGGATACAACACAATGACCATCAGCTCCTCTTCTCCCGTTCCCCCTTACCCCAAACTAACAATCGATGTCAACCCCCACACCGGCACCCCCACCAACCCCACACGCGCCCAACTCCACAACACCACCAAAAAAACATAAAACATCACGATATCCACCACCGCCATCGACAAAAACATCAACAAAAAACATACAACACCAGGTATTCGCTGGTCGTCACCGACCCAACTACTAATCCGGCCCTCATTGGCTTATCTATGGGAGAGCGGACGGGATCCCGAGTTTTCCAATGGGTATGGTCGTATGTGATGGTACTGGGGCACAGAGTACCTCATGAAGCGCACACAGAGAGCAGTAGTGCCTGGCGGGTGGTATTGGATTACGAAACCCTGCTTGTTCAAGGCGAGGTGAATGACAAAATGGGAAAGGAAATGGAAGTAGAGTCTATTTGAAGCAATGAAAGCTGTGGTTTAGTGATGGTATGTCCTTCAAATGCCTCGGTATTCAAGACTATCAAGTCGTCCTACAAACACTACCTCTCTTTCAACTTTGGGAGTTACTACTGAGACGTCACAATCCTTTGGTTTCGTACACAAATCTATCCAACAGAAAGCTGACGGAAAGAAGCCGTCGCAGGCAATCATATGCATATGCTGAAATGGGGAATCTTATAATTCTGGCCCCCCAGTTCCCATGACGGGGGGTATCATCTCGAAACTATGTCAAAGTAATAGTAAAATAGAAAATCCCAACTCCCTTTTGTCGATCATGGGTATATAAAAAGAAGATGAAAATATTGCCTTCCATTTCAAACCTCCCCTCCAAAGTTTACTCCCGCTTATAGTTCAAATCCATGACGGGACTTTCGTCCGGGCATGCGTAACAGCTGCCGGTTTCCGTCGTCGGCTGCCAATGTGCAGAGACTCCCCCGTCTCGTTCTCGGCCAGATCCTCGAAGTGCTGGTGTCCCACCGTGATAAGTTTGATAATATTGCCGAAAGCAACCGCCACCGATGCCGTGCCGACCTTGACGATGGGACCCAGTCCTGAGATGATGAGATGCGAGCCCATCTCGTACTCATCATGAAGGGGCCTTGTTTCATAGATCTGCTCCCGCCCCAGTTCTGAAGCTACCCAGACCTCCCAGTTGTCTTGCGACCTGTTCGGTCGCTTCTCTGACCGTTGATACATCCTGTGACGGAGACCACCGGTTGTTGTCGGAGACGACTCTCCGCTGCTTGACCCGCTATCGTACACTTCCCTCCGGACGCCCACGAGAAATCCGTTTGGCAGAGCTTCCCATGTCCCCGGATTACTAATTTCCCTCTTCGACTCAATGGTCTCGGCCCATGCACTACAGCTGCGGCTGGGCGGCGAACTCGTATTCCGGAAGCAAATGACGTTGCCTTCTTCCTTTGGTATAAAGGTGTGAATCACGCAGTCGCCTTTCTCTGCATGGGTGTACGCGATGCCGAATGACACAAGCCCAATCGAACCGCATTGAGGTTTTCTTCGTGACGAGTGAAAGCATCTCAGGGACCCCGCTTGAATTGAATCTGTCTCAAAAGTGTGAAGCAGCGCCTTCGTCTTTGCATCAACCAGGTCAACTGTGTGAGACCTCGCCACAAGGAATGAGCCCAGTGCCGACAACGACACTACCTGGGATGCACCGCGGTCATCGGCTGTATGCACGTCGAGGCTTTGCGAGATCCAAGTATCGTCTCGTTGCTGTGTTGCGACGTGTATACATCCTTTTCTTGACGCCGTCAGAATAGACAGCTGCGCGGTGCCGCTGGGTGGGATCTTCTGTACGAGCGGACGAACCGAGACCAACGGGCTCTTGCAGATGGAGAACTCCATGGGCTCATTTTGACCAGGAACGATCTGTATCATCGTTCCGTTTCGTCGTACGATCACGAGTGGGCTCGAAAAGTCAAAAGTCGGCGTGCCGAAGAAGAAATAAGGAGGCTTATCAGGCCTCGGATTTTTCAAGTCAACCGGGATCGGCTGACTCCACCGGTGCTCAACCAAGTTCCATAGGAAGACCTTGTTGGAGGATAACAATGCCAACCAGCTAGACTTCTTGTCTGTAGCGACTGCCAATACCGGAAAGGGGTCCTCGGGGGGTGCCTCGATGTCGGCGAGCGAGTAGTCTCTTTCGCCCGACCTGACATCCCAAACACGGATTGAGCGGTCCAGGCTGACAGAAATGATATGTCCGTCGTATGACGAAGTCATGCGCAAAACATCCAGAGTGTGAGCCTCTGGTAGAGATTCAATAGCCAAAAGGGGTTTGTCTCCCATGTCGTCGTTGCGCCTCGACTCAGCATCCTCTCCCCATAACAGGTAGTTCATGAGAAGACGGACGGCGGACAGAATGAAAAGCACGGTGACGAGAAAGTGCTTCAGGTGATGATCGATGAAGTCGTAGAGAGCCGGGAGTAGTGGACGCTCGGGCGTGACGGGTGTGCGATCCGCACCCTTGAGGACGAATACTAGAGGGTCATACACCCGAGCGATGTAACTGTGGGATCTAGGCTTGATGACGTTGATAACCTCGCGAGCGCTTTCGTGGTCTTGAAGCCGAAGCCAAGACGTTGGACTGCGTGCCTGGTGAATGTCGAGTAGCATTGAGTTCTTCGGTTGGCTGAAGCTGACTGTGTCTCTGGAGATCCTGAAAATCCCACGCGCCAGTCGGACGAAGGTGTCATTTTCGAAAAAGTGCCACTGAGCAATCAGAACAAAAGTGATCATGATAACGGTACCCGCGATGCGCGTAGACAAAGCAATCTTGCCCTGCAGCATTGCCTCGAAGCAGCTCCTGTTCACTGGCAGCTGGTCCTGCGCGTATCTGTTATTCTTCAGCGATGCCTTGGCAAGCGCGTCACTGAGCTCTGTTCGTCGCACGTCCACACTGAGAACAGCAAGGAAGAAGGTAGATAAGTAAAAAAAGTCAAACACAATAGCGACGGCCACAAACGTGCAAAAGGCGGACACGCCCGGTGAGACGATTTTCGATAGCCCCCATAAAATGAGCACGTTTTGCGCCGAGCTGGCCAGCGCAACGTGTGCCGTTTCCCCAAATGCACGGCTGATTCGACTACTCGTACTGTTCTCCGAGGGAGTCAAGATGACGGCGTTGATAAGTCTAAAAATGTTTTCGAGGCTCATGGAAAGAACCACGACCGGGTATGCCGCTTGCGGAATTCCGGACAAGTCTACCCGGAAAACGGCGCAAACAGTGAAGCTTGACATGATAGAGACAACAATCTGGACAAAGACTGTAACTATCAGGCCAAACTTGGATTTGACCGCCCGCAACTTGGAAAGGCTGTAGAGAAAGTAAATAGCGACGAGGCCATATGCCAGCGCCAGGATTACCGTGTCTTGCATGGAAATGGGCATGAACTGGAACTCGTATAGCTGGCTGTTCATGCTTTTCCCGTCAGCTGGGTAAGATGTCCACTTGTCTTTCATGCGATTTGCGAGCAATTCGGCCTTTCTCTCCCACTGGCGACCGACTGGGGAATCACGCAAGTGGATCAACGTTATGACGAGAGCGTCGGCGGCCAGAAGTCTTCGATCTTCGAAGCGCTTGCCGCTGAAGACTATTGAATGTCTTAGAGTCACATTTACTGAGGTCGGTTGCGTCTTCCGCGCATTTACAGTTGATAAGATGTCCGTGTCGGAAGCTATCCGCTCATTGGAGCAGGCCCAGTACTGGAGTGGCGAGGAGAAGAACCAAGACTGGTTGGTGAGGCCGTTAATGACATGGAATGCATCCCGGTCTTGAGGGGCAAGATCTGCATCTGCATATGGATCGTGGGCCCGGAGGGACGTTACGGGCCGCCGCGGGCTGAAATCTTTGGTGGGACCCAAGAGCTCATCCTGCAATTCGAGCGCGCCCAGCAACACGTCGTGGTCCAATGCTTTCATGTAGCTGCCGTGAACCCAAATGGAGCGCATTATTACGTCGGACTCGGTGCTGTTTTCCTTGAGCGGCTGCGCAGCAGTCCACACATGATGGGGCAAGTTGGAGGCGCCATTGCTCAGATCTGAGGTATAGAGAAACGGAAAAGGGTATATGAGTATCGCGGCGACAGTGACGGAGATGATGAGAGTCGTGACGACGTGTCTGGCGGCATATCGACCGTATCGCGCGAAGGCTCGGCGGAGAGGATGGTTCGTGGCAAGGGCTGGAGCTTCCGTCGTTCTAAAGGCAGGTCAGTCAGGACATGAATTGCAATGGGGCTGATCCATGATGAGTGGCCCCAGCATAGGTCGGAGAGAAGAAGGGAGCCATACCCTCGCAAAGGATACAAAAGATACCAAATCATCTGCGGCGATGGTTGCAAGTAGACTTGCAGCGACTGCAGCAGAAGAAGTGGGAGTTGGAATTGCAGAGTTGCAGAAGCGGACGCTGCTTAGTTGAGCTTGTGACCCATCCAGTGTTAAACTGCACGGGATAGCAAAGTTGTTGTTGTCGGTATGCAAGTGGAAGTCGTCGTCCTCATGATTCAACTCGACACTGAGCGTTCAGGTGTGGCAGTCCAAGAAATCGAACATGCGAAGCGCCGACCGGGGGATCGTTGGTTGAAGAGGTATTCTCGACGCGGCGGAGAGGTACGGAGGAAGCTTCTGAAGTGAATAGGGCGCTTTGGTGGAGGGATGTGGGCTACTGATGTAGAGGTCGCGTGGAAGCGTGACGGGGATGGGACGTGGTCAGTCGGGTGTCGGTCGAAGTGTGTAATAATGGAACGACGACGGCGGGCAGCTGCGATGGAGCCCGAAAAACGCCAGGACAAGACTAATTGTTAGTGTCGCGCTGGTGCTGGGCGAAGGCTTGGAAGACGTTGTGGAAGATTGTGTTAGTCGCAGGTGGAGGGGCGGATCAGGTAGGCTGGGAGGAGACTGGTCGACGTTCACCGGAGGGCCGACTGTAGTCGCTGCTTCGGTGTGAGTGGATGGGTGGTTCGATGGGATTGCAGTGCGGCGCGATGCGGTGCTGGGTGGTGTGGTGCATGCAATCTTGGTCGAAACGAGAGGGATGCGGAGAAATAATATGCGGCCAAGACAAATCAGAACCTTTCTGAGCGACCCCCAGCATAGACTGGAGAGGGACAGAGAGAGAAAGAAGAAGGGTTGTCGTTCGGAATGGATCAAGTACCCTCGCAGGTGGTGGCAGTTTAAGGTACGGCGATATGATCGATCGGGTGGTGGTAAGTGGGTGGTAAGCTGGAGAGACGTGAACAGAGACAGGACTAGCGACACGACCAGATGGACTGGGAAAGGTGCGATTCAATGTAATGTGAGGTGTGAGGTGTGAGGTGCAAGGTGCGCGGTTGACGTTTGGCGCTGAGAGTATGAGGCACAGCTAAGGTTCCTTGGGCTAAGGTAGTCGAGTGTGTGTCCGTACCGTGCCGTACCGCGCTAGAATCTCAGAGTGGCCCTCTAGCGTTTACAAAGTAAGGTAGGTACGGAGTACTGTGTATGCGCTCCCCTCATCTCGCACCTTGGATGCTTGGCACAAATAGTGGCCACCTCAGGACTCAGGATCAGGTACCTAGACCGGCAGACGGCGATACAGAGTCTTGGGCAGGTATCTTTGGGAGGGGGGGGGGACGTGGAACCGTGGAACCTGCCGATGGTAGTGGCTTGGTGGCAGCATCTGTCGGGGAACATGGGACGACATTCCCTACAATGTGAGGTGACTTGCGCTCTTCAACCCCTGTAACGCGCAAAGGAGACTGTCCTTGACCTGAGATTCAGAATGCGACCTGCAGGGTCGAAGAATGAAGTAACCGTAGACGCACTTGAGTCCGGGGGAGGGGGGAAAGATGGAGCGACAATCGATGACTCTGCTCTCGCCCTGATGTTTCGGTACTCAGAGGGTCTCTGAGACCTGGAGGAGACTAACGACTTGTTTGGTACTTGCAGCTTGCAAGCAGCGCTCCCGTAAAGGCAATACCTAGGTATGTAGATACGGAGTAAAATGGAAAGAAAAGCCATGGACCTCATACTGCAGTGACTACGTACCAGCGTAAGGGGGGCCAAGTCAGGGGCGTTTTGGCGTCACTGCCAAGCTGGAGACCGTCCCTGCTCCAGCTCTGGGGTGTCTGATAGGGGCATCGTCCCACTAAAACCTGACACCCCTTCCAACTGGGTACCGGGCGCTGACGTCTGCACGTCTTTGGATGGTGAGACAAATCCAAGAGCAGGGAAGAACTTCTTCCATTGCAACAGAAGCAGGAGGATGAGGGCCACTAGTGATGAGCTGCCACGGTATCCCGTAGGTCGACCAACCGATGCCCTGCCTGCATCAGAGAAGAAGCAACACGTCAAACGGTTAGGTTTCTCGAGGAAAACCCGGACCAGCTAGCTATTGAGTCGAGGTGTGCGTCGGTGTGCCGGGACCCATGGGCCATGGCATGCCGCATAGGGAATGGGAAACAGACGCAGCCAGAGGAAGAACGATCTGGACCAGAAAACATGGAAAGCTTCCCACAGGTTTGGAGTATCAGACAATGGAGAAGGAAATAAAGTTGAGGGGCGGTTTGGGGCCTATTTTGGGTCGGAGAAAGTTAAACAGCAGCCGGGAAACTTGGGGGATCCTGAGATGAAAGCAAAGCTCGAGACACCTCAAGAAGAGACAGGGAAACAAGCACAAGAACAAGCACAAGCACCTGGCTTGCACCTTTTGGCTTCCACAAGTCTGCGCTCTGGGTCTCCGAGGGAAGCACTCCGGATGGCTGGCCCTCTCGCCTGCCCTACCTTTGAGTGAGAGGTGAGGGACAACGTCTTGCGTGATGCTGCTTCTGGCTAGCCGCCCATAACCAACCTGTGCCAGTGATGCGTTAAGTCTCAAACATCAGACCTTTGATAAGCTTTCTGCGACATTCCAGAACTGAAGAAGAGTGTCACATTTCCGCTCTTCTCCCTGGCTTTTTCCTTTCCTCATTCTCTGGCTCCCGACTGGGCCGCCTGGAACTTCTGGCCCGACCGGAGACTTCTTGAAGGGTTCGGCAGGGCGGCTGGTCTTGGCGTACCGTAGAACTGTACATCTTTCCACAGTCGGATAATGGTGCCGACATGGTGGCTTTTTCCCAGTCTTCCATCTCGCCAGCCAAGCCAGGACAAGTTCCATTGACATCGATGGACGAACGGATTGGAGCAACTGGCCGCAGGAGCATTGGCGCGCGCCTCTTTGCTGATTCGCCTTTCATGAGTCGCGGCACCCTCCTTCACGTCGTCGAGGACACCTGCTGTCTCGTCTTTGCTTGAATATCAGGCAGCGTCGCAGCCAAGTTGCCCTAGAGGGAAAACTCAATGATGCTCGTTTGGAAAGGGACCGGGCGTCCGTGGTTCCTACAAAATTGGTGGATGTGTGTCCGTGTAAGTCAAGCTGCGCGGTTTTCCCAGCTCGTATTGGGGTGGTACGCTCGGTTGGGGTAGCTCGCAGCGGCCATTATCCTGTTCAACTTGGCCCGGGACCAGTTTGCAAGCGTCAAGTTTCTAGGCGGGCCTCGGCAACATCCCCCCAAAGGGTCAAGCTCGGAGACGGAGAACCCTGGAACATGGCTGTGCTGGAACCGGCGAAGCGAAAGGGTCGAAGCCCATGTTTTAGTGGGCATGCTCGTTGAAGTTTCCCATCATCCCGCCCATGGACGGACCGTGACACTTGGGAAGAGGAATTTGCCCATGTATGCGTGAAAGAAACCCGTCTTGAGGGTGTAGGCCCGTGAGCTCGATTGGCGCTGCGACAGCCAGGCGCTGTCATCGCTCGCTCTTCTGGAACGCGGATGCTTTCTGGCGAGAACAGTCTGGCATGTATCGTGTACGGCAGGAGTCGCGTGGCGAGCTCGACGTTCGTAGGTGTGGTCCGGGTAGCAATTCGCGTCAGGGGGAGCTGCTTTCGGGTGGCTGATCGACCATGATGGATGCCTCATTGGAGTTTGGGGGGCCGACGTGCGATGGAGCTAGATGATCGAAAAACATGATGACGAAGCTTTTGTGCCCAAAGGCTGACCGGCTGACAAGGCCTTTTCGTTGATACCCATCATCCTTGATAGCGATACCGGTGGTGGATGATGTGAGGGTCGTCGCTATGGCATTGGGTTGTTGATGTTGATGTTGGTGTTGTTAGCAGAGAAGCTGTGGGTGTATGTATTTGTCCGAAATAGCTTCACGATGTTTCGGTACAAGACAGCGTCGGAGAACCTTCCCACGAAGATGGAAGGGAAAGGGAACAGGCCGTTCTATATACCACAAAATGCCCTGACCAGCATTTGCACCCGCCAACCCAGAAGTAGATCTGCCTAAGCTATAATTAATCAGATGGGCAATCTCGCAGCACCAGACTACCAGTCGCCAGCCCGAGAAATGGAAGACAAGCAGCAAATGCCAAAAGCAAACACACGGGTTAATCACACCTTGCGTGGGCCATGGGCCGTGGTAAGCTCTCTGAATCACCGGGACTCATCATAATCAGGCCATGAGGACGCTCAAGTGGCCTGACTTCCCACTCGCGCCGTCTTCCTCATTGGCTCCGCTCCCTTTTGCCCTGTGCGGTTGGCACCACCTTTGCCGAATCCCTCCCCCTCCAGGGCCCCAAGGAACGGGACCTTCGTGCGGCGTGCCTCGTGCTCCCTCAAGTCCCAAAGTCCCACCGCAAGACCCCTTCCCGCCTTGCCCGCGTTTAACCCACCCCTGATTCCTGTGCCCGGGCAGCATTCGGCAGACAAATCCCGGGTATCTTCACAAAACCCAATGCCAATGGTAAGCGACCCTTGTGCTCGCGTGGAGGGAGCATCGTATTCTTTCTTATTTGCGTTTTTGGTATGTACATACACTAGGACCGAAGTCCGGGGTACGCCTTCCACGCCGGCTGTGGTTGTGAACGTGACATCGGGGCCGGTGCGGGTGCGCGGATGCGAAATTTTGAGTTTGACATGGGAATTTCACATACCGCGAACTATTTACACCGCATAGAACCAATTTATGAGCGTATGAAACATTCAATATTCTACAAGTTAGTCGGAGGCTTCAATTTTACAGTTTAAAACGAAATAGATCAAATTCAACGTTGACACCCAATGGCAGGTAATTACCCACTCTATGGGAATCTCGCACTCAAGTGACCCATCGCAGCAATTCTCGCAAATGCTCCAGCTGCAACCTTAGTCATGCAACCGCACATACCTCATTCTCACACTCACCATTAGTGCCTCATCATTAGCCACTCAAGTGAACGACCGTCATTTCCACGGTCCTAACAAGTCAGAAGACATCATGAACTCACGAGACCAGGCGGCCCCAGAGGACGACCCCCTGTCCGAGCTCATCACCACCTACAACGAGCTCAACGGCGCCTTCATCGAGGAACTCGACGAGGAGCCGAGCCCCCTCGAGTTCATGCGCTACGTCGCCCGCAACACACCCTTCGTCGTCCGCGGCGCCGCCTCCTCATGGCAGTCGAATAAGACATGGGATAAGGGGTATCTGCTGCGCGTGTTTAAAGATCAGACTGTGAATGTTGCCGTGACGCCTTTTGGGTGAGTTTGGAAAGAAAATGAATTCTGTGCCCGCTCTGCCCATTTTGGAGGGGGTGAAATTTTTCACGATCCTTGACTTACACGGTTCGTTCACACGCAGTAATGCAGACGCTCCAACCGACCATGAAGGAAATGTCGTTTTCGCGAAGCCACACGAGGAGGATCAGGATTTTGAAGAGTTTCTCAACTATGTAATCAACCAAGAAAAGAGTAAAGATACGGCCTCAGAAGTCAGATATGCTCAAACACGTATGTCACTTGTTCCCTGCTCTCAGCTTTCTCATCACACTCATATCTTCACATCAACAATTTCATATCTCAATCACAATGAAGAAACCTCAACCACATCCAACCCTCATCCACTCTCACAAAATCTCAAAAACAACTAACCCTCAACCCCCCCAGAAAACGACAACCTCCGCAACGAGTATCTCCCTCTCTTCACCCACGTACCCCCCTCCATCCCCTTCGCCCGCATCGCCCTCGACCGCGACCCGGACGCCATCAACCTCTGGATCGGTGCCTCCCGCTCCGTCACCGCCCTGCACAAGGACAACTACGAAAACATCTACGTCCAGGTCCGCGGTCGCAAACACTTTGTCCTCCTCCCGCCATGCTGCCACCCCTGTGTCAACGAGACGGCCCTCACGCCCGCGACGTATTCTCGTCGGGGAGGAAAAGATGGTGAGCTGGTGTTGAATATGGACCGGCCTGAAGGCAGCGAAGGCAGTGAAGCAGAAAGAGGAGAAGGAGATGAAGGAGAAGAAACGGCAACATCAAATACCATCCCCTTTGCGACATGGGATCCGGATCAGCCGCAGGTCAACGCGACGCCCTACTCTCACCTCGCTGAGCCTGTTCGCGTTACGCTGGAGCCGGGCGACATGCTCTACCTACCCGCCATGTGGTACCACAAGGTTTCCCAGTCCTGTCCGGAAGACGGTGAAGGCTTCGTCCTGGCCGTCAATTACTGGTAAGCTTATAGACATCCCACACATCGCGGGTTATAAGCACCCCGGTATACTGACCACCACACCAGGTACGACATGGAGTTCAGCGGTCCGTTATACCCCCTCAGCGCCTTTGTGAGGAACGTCAGTCTCAAGACAGCACCGGCAACTTCAAAAGGCAAGACAACATAGCACATGAACAAGCATCGCCCGAGCATCAAAAATAAGCAGTACTTTCGCCTTGATTGAGTCTCTTCTCAATACTTGCATATCCCCCTTCCGCCATATGTACATTTGTGGTTTTGTTTGTGTGCGGATATACGCCCAGATTACCTAGAAAGGGTGGCGTGGCTCTCTGCCTCGCTCACTGTCGAGAGGCATTTCTTTTCCTCGTCGTTTGGTCATCCTCCACCAGATTTCGGGGGCCCATGTAAAGCTATGGGCTTCACCGGGCCCAAGTGAGTTGATGAAGAAGCCCCCCTTTCCTCCCAACATGAACGCCAGCTATTCGAAGTGAATCATGATACACTAGTTTTTTTTCCCCGTTCCCGCCCACCTCCGCCAAAAGTTTCGTCTTCATTGCCTTTGTCTTGGTTGCTATGCATATAGTATAATCGCAGGAGACAGATCCAAATGGGTATGCTTTGAGGTGATGAAAATCAGAGGCGGCAAGATGCCCGCCTCCACCAAGGAAATGAGTTCAGGTCCCAACTCCAGCAGGCGACTTGGCCTGAGAAATACACAGGGCGAATGCAACCTAATGGTGCAGCCCAACCACCGATAACACCAGAAAGACCGATAGAGATTAGTTGAGGAATCCCTTGCACGCCGCCGTACCGCAAAGGCAGGGGATACGGTCCAAGCTGCCAATCTCTCGCTCAAACTTGTAGTCGTATGTCAACTCCTCATCTGCGCTGATGTTAGTTCCACGTGAAAACACAAAGAGAGGATCGAGGTTGGGTAGCATACGTTGAGCAATGTCGCGGAGCGCATAGATGACGATGCGCTTGGTTCCGTCGACCTTGATAATCTTGGCAGTGCAGTTGGGCATACAGCTGTGGTTGATGAAACGAGCAATGCCACCCTTCTTGGTTGCGTCGATGACCGTGTTATCGTCAATACGGAACAGATAACTGCTGCCCATACCGCTCTTGAGGTAACGCTTCTCTCGGATCTCCGAGATTGATTGTCTGACCTGCTCGCCGACGTACTCGATGATCATGTCATCCTTGTTAATATTCTCCTCCGTGTATAGACCCCAATTATGAATAGCAGATCGTGCAAACTTGACAGGCTTCTTCCGCTTTTTAAGCTGGTTGAACTTGAACGCGTCAGAGTCGCCCGAAATCTTCTTTTCATCTTGGAGTGCAGAGACATGCCGACGGTTGTTGGCACGATTTGCTCTCGAATTGCCCTTTGCCACCGCCTTTTCTGCCACAGCAAGCCTGCTAGCCTCAATCGCTGCGTCTTTGCCGTCCTTGTTGTACCGCGCTTGACGTGCTTCTCTGGCCTTCTGAACCTTAATGTGGTGAGGCAGATACTTGGACTTTTCGGCGTTGAGAATCTTCTTGACACCCTCGGTTCGAGCAGCGCCGGTGGAGTTGGGTACATAGTAGCCATCGATGCCCACAGCCTGGTCAACCGATCCAGTGGCGGAGTTGAGCTCTCGAACACGATTACGCCGCCATAACCACAGAAGCGGGTCACCGAAATCTGCCCCAGTAAACCTCTTTCTGAGTTTCGAGATATCTGGACTGTCAACCGCAGACAACGACAGCTCTTGCAGTGCAGAGATATCGAGCCTGAAATCGCCAGACAGGCCGAGGGCTGGAGCTGGCGTGGTAGTGAATAATGAGGGATCTGCCTTGGCCTTCTGCGGCTCTGGTTCTTCCTCTTTCTTCTCTACAGGCAAAACCTCGGTCTCAACCTCTTCCGGCAAGGGTTTGACCGGAACTGGTGTCTCCTCTTCTGTCTCTGTGGGATTCTGAACTTGCTGCTTCTTCAAGGCCTCCCTTTCCTCGAAGACTTGCCTCTTTGACTTCTTCTTTAACTTCTGCTTCTTTGCCAATCCCTTGGCAGCCGATAGCGCAGGAGTCTCTGAGCGATTGCTCTGGGTCTCGAGTAGGTCAACATCGGGTGTGGCCTCTGAAGAAGCCAGCAAGTCAGTCTCGACGCCCTCCAAGTTGACTCCGAATAGTTCTTCATCGGACTTCTTCTGACGCTTGATCGCCGATTGGATCTCCAAGTCGAGCTTCCTCTTCTTCGTCGAGGCTAGGCCATCGCCAATAGCGAAGCTTGCCTCCGTCATAGAGTCCTCCTCGCCGGGACCCCAGGAGGCAAAGTCGTCCTTGACGTCGTCGTCTGTGCTCATACGGCTACGGGGTCGAGAGTCAGGCTCTTCAGTATCCCTCGCCAGGGACTCCCTGATGGCGGCCTCATCATCGGACTCAGCATCGCTATCGTAGCTCTTGAGACGATGGTGCAATGATCGGAAGGCACCACGGCTCTGTTGTGCTGCGCGCTTGCGGGAGAACGGGTCCGTGAATCCATGATTGCGTGAGGCTCCTTGGGCAGTAGCCTTGGCCTTGCGGATACGTGGCAGAGCAGCAATTTCCAGGCGACCTGTGCGACGCTCAATTGGATCTGCGCCAGAGTTGGGTGTACTAACTCCAGGGCTCTCATCGCCGGCATCGACGGTGACAGACGGGACAGATCCAGCCGGGTCCTCCAAGTTGAGCTTTCGTCGCTTGCTTGCGTGATTTGCTGGATCCAGAAAGCTAGTCAGAGCAGGAGCGGCAACTCTTGTCCGTATGTGCTTGATCAAGTGCTCTGCTAGCTCTCGGGTGACCACTTCGCAAGCCTCGAGGACCGGATCAAAGTTCTTAGCTCTCTGTCGCTTCTCTTCCTCAAGGTCTGCTTCCTCTTCACGACGACGACGATCCTTATCCTCGCGCACTCGTATATCCGTTCGGCGTTTGCGCTCGGGACTGGGGGTTCGCCGTCGTGGTGGCGGAGCTGCAGATTCGGAGTCTTGGCCTGTCGAGGGCGGAAGCGATAGTTGCATCACCATGTTATACGTGAACAAGTCGGTATGGTTAGCTGCTCTGTAGCATTTCGAAGCCTCATTACGTCCGTGAAAGGAGTTGGGAAACAGAATGTAGTATCCCGTTCGGTCGATGCGAATGTCCTCAAGGGCAAACGCTTTTAGTCGTTTCTTCATGTGAGGTATGGTCGTAACCATGACTGGAACATGCTCATGCGCAACGAAAATGTACGGCTCGCCGGCAAGCTGCTTCGCGATAACCTTCTCTTCGAGCGCAATGTGCATCTTGGGCTGGCTAGGGACCCAAGCAGGCACACCGGCCACGGCCTGTCTGTGAGAAGAAGGACCCTTTGGTGCCATCGGTGGTGGCCCAGGAATCTTTTCGGGCGCAATTCGAGGGCCGGTGGGCGGCGCCTTTGCAATAGAAGCATCCCGTGTAACTCTGTCTTTCTGTAGAACTTCCTCGAGCATGCGACGGCTTTTCTTTCCTTCAGGATCGTATTCGACTCGAATTGTGTTTGCCTCGATTCGTTGCCCGTGCATGGCTTTAACAGCTCGGCGCGCTGATTCAGTGGCCACAATGGGGTTGGGTCTCGATCTGCTGGGATGCGCATCCTTATACCGAAACGTTGCAAAACCTAGGTAGCTGCCCGTCTCAGGATGCATTTTGTTACTGCTCTCAGCAATGTCGCCAAACGACGCAAAGGCCGCCGTCACCTTTGAAAAGGTGATGAGAGGATTGAAGCCAGTAACGACAATCTGTGTAGGCGGCCCAGGACCAATTGAGGTCTTAGGACAATAGGTGTATGGTTTCAAGTTGTACGGCGACTGTCGCAATCGGGACTTTGGGAGATGAAAATCGGTGTTGATATAACCCAATCGCCCACCTTTGGCGAGACGAGGGTCTGGAGGGGGGGCGTCATCATCTTCCTACTCAGTTTATTAGCCAAAGCTCTCACACACAAAAGATGACGCCTCCCCCTCCCCCTACACTGGGCAGGTTTATTGTATTTGTACGTACCAATCCAAACTCCTTATATATCGGCTTGGCATCTTTTCTGCCGTGCTTCGATAGGGTCCGGTCGTTGAAGGGATCATATGTGCACTTGATGCCTTTTCGCGATCGATTGGGATCTCGCGCGGGAATGCGCTCAATTTGAGGATATGGCTCCGGGAGTGAGCTGTTCAGGCGGGATGTTGGGGTATTGAGTGAGACCGCTGCCTCGCCCCGATCGGTGTTTTGTGCTTGTGGCATAGTCGTTTTCGATAAGGCAGCATTGCCTGGGTATGAAGGTGATTCAATGGAGGTGAGCGGCGTGCCGCTGGATGGAGGGATATAAGATATGCCGCTGGGGACAGCTTGTCGCGCAGCCGTACTGAAGACGGATGAGCCCGTACTCGCGTAAGAGCTTGCAGATCCGACAGCGTTGAGAGTGTCTCCTAAGGGCGACTCATGACCGTCGTGTGGCTGTTGCGAAGTGTCGGAAGGTAGGCCATCAGCCGTGGATGACCTTTCTCCAGTTGTGCCGTTGACCGAAGGGGTGCCGCCGCTCTTGGAGCCGCTAAGCAGGCCACCTGCCGAGTCTTGAACCTTAGCCTTTGCCTTTTCTCGTTCGTTGGCTCTGTCCCTAGCGACGCGGGGGGCTGCAGGGAAGAACTGCGCGAAGCTCGCCGAAGATTGGCGGGTCATCGTGAGATTGTTCAGCTTTCACCGCTCTCGCCTGCCACCAACCATCGTCTCTTATATGTCGGATGATCTTAAAGGACAGAGGTCATCGCCGAAGAAAGCGGCCGCAGCGGTGTAGCGGGAGAAAAGGTCGTGGAGTCGCTGTTCACGCGACCGATGCGTAGCTAGCGACACGAGTGAATGGCAAGAGGCAGGAGTCCGACTGCGTCATTCAAGGAAGAATAGGTCCCAGTCGCAAAGGACTCAGAGTCGATGCGATCAACCAGCAGGTTTGCAAACGAGGTCGGATGATTCGTGCGATGCGACTGACGGATATGAGGCTGGAGAAAATGTAGCAGTGAGGTCAGAAAGTTGGAGGTTGAAGAGTGTCCAAACCTTTCAGGGATGCGATTTAGCGGAGACCAGCCACGGAACAAGGCGAGGGAGCACCGTTACGCATGGATGCTCAGACGGGACCTGCGTGACGAGGACCGGTGTGAGAGCAAGTATTCCTCTGCAAATATTCGGTGCTGGGTACAATCGGGAATTTGGGTGGAGATGAAGCTGCCTCTTCTGACAGCTGGCACCGGAGAGAGTCGCGTCGCCAGACCTTCCACTTTGCTCAATTTTCGCGTCTTGCTAGGCAAGGACGTGAAGGACAGGGGCACCGCATAAACTGTCCAGTTGCATCATGGCCGAGCCAATGGAGTAACTGATGAACCTCGTGCCAATCATTCCATCTTCCAATCACTGTGTCAGAGAATACACTTCTTGTTTACACCATTTTTGAATGCTAATTCGAGAGGTTTGACAGGCCGCAAGCACCTGAGGACATGGAAGCCAGTCGAAATTTAGAACTGCAAATCAATCGACTCAAGTAATACATGCAGGCAGCTGTGGCTCGCTATGAGAGACAAAGCCTCTCCCTGGTGTGAATGATCCATGCTGGGTAATAAGTTATACAGAGTCAAACAAAGTAAATAAATACAGTCATTGTAAACCCTGATCGCGAACACAGTCTTTGATCGCCCGTTTGACCTCGCGGGCATTGCATGTGGGCAACAATGCCAGCCAAAAAACGCCTCCAAGTCCCCAGCCGTCCTGCTGTTTTACAAACGAGGGTAATCATCTCCAAACGCCATCCATCAACATAGTTGAGCGATTAAAATGTCAACTTCATCTCGAATTCATCGTCTTCGAACTCTTCGTTTCGTGGACCCGCGCTGCCGATGCCATCATCTTCGTCATCCCTGGCGGGATCGAAGATGGATAGGAATTGGAGTTTGCCGAGCTCCTCGCTGTCGTTCCGGGCCTCCTGTCTATGCTTCTGAGGGGATGCGTCACGTCTCATAGTCATCTTTGGAGCTAGGGTCGTTTTCGCATCTGTCGAGACCGACCGAGCTGCAGCGGCGGATGCTGGGCGCCCGCTAACAAAGGAAGAGGCTGAGCGACCCTTTGTGTAGCCCAGTGTGTTTCTCGACACGGCTTCTCCCATGGCACTTTCAGCGACCGAAGACTTCGGGGCCACAGCAGGCCTGTTGGGTCTGGTCTTCGGAAGGATAGAAGAAATTGGTCTTCTGACCGTGGGCTTTTGCTCGACAACTTTCTTCTGTCTGATGGTGTTGCCGGTGGACATTGACAGAGCAGACGCAGCTCTTCTAGAGGTAATCGTGGGCGGGTACTTGGGAGCACCTCCAACCGCCTTTCTGGTGACGGCCGGGTTAGGAGCCGGGGCTGGTGCCTTTCGCTGAGAGATGGCGGAAGTCTCAGGAACGTCCGAGACGGACCAGTCCATTTCCTGAATGTCTCGGAGGATACGCTCGTCACTCTCCTTGAGAGCCTTCTGAAGCCTTTCCTGGTGCTGCCTGTCCTGAAGTCTGACTCCATCCTCGCCCATGGGGTTGTAGAAGTGGTTGTAGTATCCTTTGAACATGTTCTCGGGTTTGAGTCCCTCGAATGTTAGATCTCCCTTCGACAGGACATCCGACTCGTAAGGCAAGTCCTTGACGGTAGGAGGCGCGTACTCGACATCAGGCTCCTCGGCTGGACCAGCCTGATCGTTGCGGACTTCTAGCTTAAGAGGGCCGACACTGGGAGACCGCTGCTTCAGCTTCTTGGTCGTCGTAGGTTTCGTCTGCGTTTTCTCGCCATCCTTTCCTCCGGTGTTCTGGGTGGCTCTAGCCTTTGCATTGGTGGTCTTGTTTCCGAGAGGTGCCCGAGCTCGTGTCTCTATCAAGGATGTTAGTCGCTTTTGATACCTCATATGACAGAATTGGAAGTGTTACCAGAAGGAGTGACGAGGTTCTGCTTCTTTGCCGTGAGTTGAATGTTTCCGTTGGCATTAGACTTGGCGGCGAGCACAGATTTGGCGCCTCCGACAGCGTTCTCGTCGTTGAGGGGAATTTTCAAGGGCGTCTTTGGGTACCGGGCTCCAGGGGTCTTGGGAGCCAGCTGCCCTTTCCCCGGAGCCAGACGAGCAGCTTGAGCTGCGTTGACCGCGTTCTCGTCACGAAGGGCCAGCATTTTGCATAGAGCCAGAGGGGTTGTTGATTCTGTCGTTGACTCAGCGTCTTCTTTGGTCGTGCTGGATCGTAATTGCGCGGTGCTGTATTGTCGTCATCAATCCCTTCACTTTGGAGTCTGTCATGGGTTGAAGAGACGATAGAGATCGTAAACGGACCCGTATGTTTGGGGCGTTGTTGTCGGGACAACGACGAAAGAAGCTCAGACCCTGCGGAAACCCCCGTACAAAGTTCACCTCTAGGCTCTACCGCAGTACCTAGGTGGGAAAGCAGTAAAGCACCGTGCCACAGCCCAACCCCACCTGACTGACCCCACTGCCCGCGTCTGAGCTAATCCGATTGCAGCTTCCTTCCAGCGTGTGAAGACCAGGCCTGTCTGGCTGCTGGCTGGCATGCTGAGGGTGGTCCGCCACAGGTCGCATGGAGCGGACTTGCATGTAGAGGGGCAGTTATTTCAACACCTCACACCCTTTCCTCCCGTTTCCATCCTCGACAGCTGCGATCCCACATCCACCGATCCCGTTCCCGTTCTCAACTTCAGCAACTCTCCTTATCGCAATCAACCTGCACCGACTCTACTACAACGTCAAAGCAACTCGCAGCTATTCATCATGGACCGTATCAAGGAGGTAAGTTTGCCATTTTGACTCTGGCTCCACCCGACTGCTACCGGCGGTCTGGAGGGGTAAGATATCCCCAATGTGTTGTGTCATCGATGCTGACAACGACGGTGTCAATCAGAAAATGAACCAGCTTCGTCTGGAGGCCGACGATAACGCCGCAAAGGTTGAGGAGCTTCAGACCAAGGTCAAGTCTCTGGAGCAGGAGAACCTGTCCAAGGAGCAGGAGATCACCTCCCTGCAGCACAAGAACGGTCTGCTCGAGGGCGAAGTCGAGAAGCTTGAGACTGCAGTTAAGGACTTCAAGAAGGCTGCCGACGAGAGCGCTGGCACCGGCACACAAAACGAGACTCTCCAGCGCAGACTCCAGCTCCTCGAGGAGGAGGCCGAGGAGGCGGACAAGACTCTTCGGGAAGCCAACGAGAAGTACGTTCTGGACCCTGTTTGCCGAATCGATGATACCCCCTTTTCACTCTCCGACCCCCATCGTGTTCATTAAAGCCCGCCCCACCGAACGACCGACCGATGCATTACTTATTACTTACACCGTCTTTTCACAGGCTCCGACAGACCGACGTCAAGGCCGGCCACTTCGAGCGCAAGGTCCAGGCTCTCGAGTCGGAGCGCGACCAGTGGGAGTCCAAGTACGAGGAGATGGCCAAGAAGTACGCGACGGTCCAGAAGGAGCTCGAGGACTTCCAGGCCGAGATTGGCAACATCTAAGGTCCTTGTTGCGCGTGTCATTTATGCAAGGCTTTTCTACATGATAGACTCCAGGCTTGGGACACTGTGTTGGCGATCTGACTTAGCTATCCCAACAAGCGGTGGAATGCAAATGACGGGACGGTTCGCGACCGAGTTATAGCAGCCTTATTTTTACTCCTTTTTTTGTAACCCCGGCCAACAAAGAGCTTTGTTCTGTCAGATGCCCCCCTGGTCTTTGTTCAACAGACACAGACATCATGGGAATCTACACATAACCACCTCGGACCACGCTGGGCGTGAGGCAACTCCTTGGGCAAGCAGCTGCAGCAACCAATGCGAGATATTATACCCTCCTTCAACTAATCTTTCTTGAACCTTGCCTTTTTGGCTTTTGCCTTCCTCGCTCCCAGTGACCTTTCTAATTTTGTTTCGTAGGTGAACTTCTTCTTCTGCTTCTTGGGCCACTCTTTCCGGCTCTTTGACTTTGCCGGCTGGTCAGATGCCTGCTTGTCCGCCTTGGATTCGTCTTGGCTGTCGTTCTCTTCCTCGTCGCCGTCTTGGTGGATCTTTTCGAGACCGTCCCGCGTCACGGATATGGCCTCGACCTTGACCGATGTGTAGCGGTCCTCGTCTATGTACTCGTCTTCGTAGTCCACAATATCTGTCTGATCCTTGGCCGGCTCGTCGATGCCGTCCCACTCTTCGAAATCTGATCCGTTGATCTCCTGATTCCCATCCGAGTCTGCCTCCTGAGCCTCCTTGAGTAGAGCGCTCACGGCATTGACGTGGTCTTCGACTTCTCGTTGGCGCTCTTGTCTGATCTGTGATAACACCATCAGTACATGCGACGAGCAAGTGCAGGCAGCAGCATGAGTGTGCGTATGCAAGGGGAGACGGAAGGGCCGCGGCTGCCTCACTCACCTGTTTGCGCATCTCAATCTTCTCCTCCCGCGCCTTGGAGGCTGCCTGCTCCTGTGCCCATTTCTGCCGCTGCAGCTTGCGCTTGTGGAAACCCGTGAGGTAGTCTTCCCGCGCATCGAAATCGAAGTTGACCTCCTCGATCGCCGATACCGCCTTTCTCTTCTTCGAGGGGGGCGCACTGAGCACGGATTTCTTGGGCCGGGGTTTGGCGAACATCGTGGCTGTTTGGTTGAATGTGTCGATGATGGGGACTGTTGACTGGCTCGTCGTGGTGGTTTTTTCTCTGGCGGCGGCGGCGCAGTGAAATTTTCTGGATCCGACTCCATTGGGGGGGTTTTTTCTGGCAGCCTTGCAGGACCATGCCGCTGCAGCCTCTGTAAGGGCCCACTGACGCGGGCCAAGCCGAAGAGCTAAATGCGCTGGAACGGACTCCAGGTCTCGCCCGCTAGGCGTGCATCTGTCAGCGAAACCAGCAGGTGACATCCCGAGGGGGCTTCACTGCATCATTCCTCGACTGCCGTGCATGCTGACATGCTGACATTTCCTCTGATGATTTCAAGGTTCATGAAGCTCCGCTCACGTCAATCTGCTGTTTGATACGGTCACGAATGTTTGGATGGTTACCTATGTCGTAACCCAGTAGTTCTCACAATTGTGTTTTGTTTATCGAAGGTCTGCGTACGGTCCGACTCGTGACTTTCTTGCCCATCCCGATGAGAGTCTCTTGTAATTGTCCCTCGACGACTGCGAGCTGCTCAGTGCAGATATACCTTCTTGACATGCATGAACTCTTGAAGAGCCTTGAGGAGCCCGGGAGTGAGCTACACTATATTCATTAGAAATTGGAACGAGTGGTCATTCATATGCATTATGAATGTGGATTGTGTTGGAATGTCGATACCGCATACCATGAGAATGTAGATCTTGAAGCATCAAAAGCTATAGTTGAGTACAACTGGCGAGCGTTTTGATGAATTAAGGCTGCACCGCAGGTGCATCGCTCTTGTAAAACGATATGCAGGGGCGGGGCAGGTAGTGACCTTGATGAAACTGCCCTGAAGAGGCCTTGTTGGATCGCGATTGCAGAAATGTATTTAAGCGGGAGTGGGTGTAGTTGCTGATTACGTTGAGCTCGCATAGACGCATGTATCCAAGCTACGTCGTCCCTGGAGCTAATCCGCAGCATAACTCCTCGCAGAACGACGAAGGCTAGCCATCGCATTCAAACGGGCAAGCTTTCAACCACATCAACCAGCCATGCGTCTATCAAGAACAGCAGGCCTCATGGCCTTGTGCGCCTCGGTGCAGGCCTTCACCGACTCGTCGCCCTTCATCATGCTCTCGACCGCTGAGTACGTTTCGGCCTACCACCGAACCCTTCCATCCTCGTCATCGAACACTGCTAACATGCCTTTCTTCCCCTTAGGTTCGCGAAGTCCAACCCCGCTCAGCTTCAGACTCAGTCCCAGGTCGTCAAGGCCGTTCAGGGTCTCCTCTCCTCCTGCCCGACAGACCGCTACCTTCTCGTCTCCCAGCCCAACGTCAACGCGGCCGACATCCGCAACCCAGCCAGCGGCGACTGCCAATCGCCCAACCTGTGCCGCGCCATCTCCGATAAGGACGCTCGCGGCGTCTACAGCGTCGCCGAGGTCGTCGGCGAGGTGCCCATCGGAAAACTGGCTGATTACATCAAGAAGTCGTGCGCGGGCAAGACGGTCGAGGTCGAGGAGGCCAGGCTCGCTGCCCTCGGACGGGACGCGAGAGCCGCCACACTCGCCGACAACGACCACGCCCTGGGCCAGCGCCTCGAGAAGCTGCGCAAGGCGTCGGATTCGTACACCGTCATCTACCTCGCCAGCCTCTCGGAGCCCACCTACGAGGCCGAGTTCACCACCGAGCCTCTGCACGCGGAGCTCAAGCGCCACGAGGCGAGCCTGCGACACGTCAGGAGGGCCGACAACCAGACCGAGTGGCGCAAGCTGCCTCTTTTTGAAAAATACGTCTTCTTCTCCCCAGGTGAGTGATGGAGTCTCGTCGATTCGTGGTGCTATGAATGAGACTGACATGACCGTAGGCGTCTTCCACGCCATTATCGCCACTATTGTTCTCTTCAGCATTCTCGGTGTCGGTATCAGGGCTCTCGCCAGCCTCGAGATCCCGTACGGTGCTTTCGAGAAGGAGAACGGCCCTGCGGCTCACAAAAAGGCCCAGTAGATGTGAATCAAAATCGCCTCAAGGCATTTTTTCCAGGAGTGCCTCCTTCAACAACCTGTGTATTTCATTTGAGAACGTCGGGAGTTATCGGCTGGCTTTTGACAGGCATGTTTCGAGTAAAGGCGGAGGAATCAATGGGCATGATACTTAGAGAGCACAGGAAAGGGGCCCTGTGGTCTGTAGAGACCAATGTAGTGTTTTTCTCGCAAATGGCATGAAATGTATTTCTATAACAAATGGACCTTTTTTATCTTCCTCTGTTTGCCGCCCACCTCCCCTCCCCCCACAACAGAGAACCTTCATGCTTTGTTGTGAGAGGAGAAAAACGCCATGAACGCCTACTACAGCCTCGTCGGCCGTCTCAAATCAAAATTCTTCATCATCTCTCCAAACTTGGTCCCCCATAATCGGAGCGTTGCCTCTTAGACCAAGTGACTCGGCAGCAAAAAGTTAGCGATGCCCTCACGAATGGCGTACTCGTGTCCGCAGTTGCCGCAGACGAGCTTGCCCTCCATGATCTGCGTCTCCATGAGGAGGTGGTGCAGTTCCTTGAGCATCTTCTCGTCGCCCTCGAGTTGCTCTGCCGAGGGGGCCTCCGTGGGAAGTTCGGGGAAGCCCAGCTTTTAAGGTAACTAATTAGCAATCTGCACGTACATGAAACAAAAGAGATGGTGTAGTGGACGTATATGAGCTTGGATGATGTATAGAAATAAGACATCTTCAGGCGGAAGACCAAAATACGAGGGAAAATACGATGTAAGATAAAGTATGAGCAAGAGCCTTACCTCAGTTGCGTTCGTTCGCAGAGCGGCCCAGTCTAAGCGGGGCAGGACGTTGAAGAGAAGTTGGGGGTTGACCTCGATGTCGTCCTGCGCCAGCTCTGCGTCCTTGGGGTGGAGGGGGAACGAGGCCGCGGAGGACTTGCAGGCCTTGACCGCGCAGGTCAAAAAGTTGAGACTAAGCAGCTTCATATTTTTTCTCTTATTTTGTCTTGCGGGCGTCAGGTATGATCGGTTGTTCGCTATTCAAATGTAGAGGGGTGTTTGAGTTGAAATTTGGCCAGTACGGAATTTTTTTTGGTACCCCACACGTGATGCGCTTTGGGATGGGTGCTTTACAGCTATTGGACTATGCTTTAAGAGAATGCAAGACGTAGATACAACATTTTCAACATCACGACAAATTGCACATTCGAATATAGTTGACATATGCATGTGTTGGCCATTTCTTGTTAGCTGGCATTTGTTGTCTTGTATTTCCTGAGCCAAGTCGATGCCCGCTTCCCCCTGTCAAATCCCCCTTTACGCCATGGTCTTCTCGTAGCCGACATCTCTTGCGGCCCTGGACTTGCTGAACTTGATGTAGGCGACGATCGCAGCAACAACAACACCACCGAAGAGACCCTTCTGGATTAGGGACCAGCCCTCGCCGGAGCCCACCTCCAGCGGCGTATCCTCGTTGGAGTAGCCTGACGCCCACTCGCTAGTGCCGTATTCGCCTGCAACGAGGGGGGCGTAGCCATCAGCAAACCAAGTACGTTTTTGTGTGTTGTTTCATCAATTTCGGGAGGTCATCAGCGGGAAGAGTCAAGGTGGAATGGTGTAAAAAGTGTCGGGTTGATGATAAAACGAGGAGACAGCGAGGGACGACGGGTTGTCACAGTACGTGCTCAGAGTTCCACGTGGATACCTTCAGGGGGCACCTCCAGCTCTCCGCTCTTTGCGATCTTGATCGTCTTGGCGGGGCGGTCGCCGGGCTGGGTCTGGGCCTGCTCGATCTTCTCGACGACGTCGAAGCCCTCGAGGACCTCGCCGAAGACGACGTGACGGCCATCGAGCCAACTGTGATTGTAGAGTTAGCGCAACTTCGTGGGTATGGAGTGTTTGTAGTTGTCGGCGAGGTGTGCTTACGAGGTGATGACGGTGGTGATGAAGAACTGGGAGCCGTTGGTGTCCTTGCCGGCGTTGGCCATGGACAGGAGACCCTTCTTGGAGTGCTTAAGCTTGAAGTTCTCATCGGGGAACTTCTCGCCGTAGACTGCGGAGTTCCATATCGTCAGTCGTCACGCAGAACTGTGAAAGCGGTTTGGATTGGGAGCAACTCACTGGACTTGCCACCAGTGCCATCGCCCTTGGTGAAGTCACCACCCTGGATCATGAACTGCTTGATAACGCGGTGGAAGGTAGAGCCCTCGTAGCCGAAGCCCTTCTCGCCGGTGGCGAGAGCGCGGAAGTTCTCAGCGGTCTTGGGGACAGTCTTTCCGTACAGACCCATGGTGATGCGGCCGAGGGGCTCATCGCCGTGGGTGATGTCGAAGTAGACCTTGTGGGTGATCTTGGGGCCCTTGGCAGCCTCAGCGGTCTGCGCGAAGAAGGCCAGAGCCACTCCGGCGAGGAGGAGGGCAGAGACGAGTCTCTGAATGCTGAACATGATGGACACTGGGCACTGAACTCGATCAATTGGGGAAAGAAATTCAGATTCTGTGGATGCAAGTAAGAACCGTCTGGGAAGGGAGGAGAGGTTATCGCCAGAAGGGACAGTGTGTTAAATAGAGGGACCCTCGGAACCGTAGAGCTACGTTTCAAACTCCCCTCTCTGAAGCACGCGAATGAGGAAGTCGAGCTCGGACCCTGGTCGCCGCAACTGCCCAATGGGGGGAGGCAATCCGTGGAAGTGGATGCGTCCATGGCATAAAGGGTCGCCTTCTGGGCGGATCAGTGCTATCAATGCAGCCGGGCAGCCACTGGTGCCACTAGACTACGTGCAGCACCTGCCACCGCCGCGTTGCAATTGGATCCACTATTTTCCGGCGCCGACTCTCCGTGAGTGCATCGATGATTTCGAAGTTTCGCGATCCCATCATCAATTGCAGGTACCGGATCAGTCCGCGACGACGATAGTGACGCTCTTTTCGAGGACTCAGGTTTTAAATTGGAGAAAATGGTAAGATAGATATCTCATGACAGACACCGTAGTGGCAACTGACTGACCCTCTATAGGTTTTCATTCTAGGAGTCAACTTTTCCGAGCAAAAGCTCGTGAAGGTACGGCACCCCCTTCGCCTGCGAACGATAACGACCCAGCTGTAATACCACATACGACGGTGCTAACGATCTTATTCTCTTTATAGAAGGCGCTTGAGTCTTTCTTCGCTCTCGGGCCGACCACATCATCCCGCATTTTGGCCAAATACTCCATCTCCCCCATGTCCAAAGTCGGCGCTTTGCCACCGAAAACCGTCACGGCTCTTACGGCAGAGTTATCGACAATGACGATAGAAAGCGATGCGCGGAAGATCATTCAACAGAACGTCATGAGACTAAAGGATATGGGAAGTTACCGGGGAAGAAGACACGCCATGAACCTCCCCGTGAGAGGACAGCGGACGAGGACCCAGATCGAGTCGGCCAGGAAGCACAATTCTGCGAACAGACGATGGTAAACGCCCTTTGCGGTGGCTGTCGACTGGGTATTTGGAGAGCGAATGGGTTAGATTTTGAGGTGGTGCTCATTGCATGACCACCGAATGTACAACATAGACGGGTCTGTGGTGTGCCCAAACATGTATGACTATGAAAAACTATACCACTTGTACCATCAATTCCGGTTCCAATTTCACCATTGTCTTAGATACGCACAGGAGCGAAAGTTTGAGGCATCTATGGACCCATTGATACTGATTCTAGCGCACTGCCCCTACCACTTCGGGCTTGCGATATCATCCTCAAGAACAGGGTGGCCATCCTTTTGCAGCTTCTCGGCAACCGCCTCAACCTCCTTCCAGACGCGAAGAACATTTCCGCCAACGACCTTTGCCACGTCCTCGTCACTCAAACCCTGCCTCAGCAGCTCGGCAACAAGGCCTGGGTACTTGGACACGTCCTCCAGACCCTTGGGCACCGACGCAATCCCGTCAAAGTCGGAGCCGAAACCGACGTGGTCGAAACCGATAAGGTTGCCAATATGCAGGACATGCCTGACGACCTGGTCAAGCGTGGCGTTGGCGGGGACGTAGGTGGGCAGACCGTTCTCGTTGCCGGAGTCGACGCAGGAGATGAAGTCAGGCGCAAAGTTGACCATGACAACCGCGTTGCGCTCCTTGACGAGCTTCAGAACGTCATCTTTTACGTTGCGGGGGTGCGGGCAGACGCTGAATGCGGAGCTGTGGCTGTAGATAACAGGCGCCTTACTACCTTCCCAGTCCTTGCCCCCGAGGACATCAATCTGTGTCTCGGCGCTGTAAGAAATGTTAGAAACCATCCTTTGTAGGGATCAACGGGTCCTCGAAACCTACCTTGTATGGGAGAGGTCGACAATCAACCCGACACGGTTCATCTCGTGAATGAGACGGCGACCGGCAGGGCTCAACCCGTGCCACAGAGGCTCTGCCTTACGCAGAGGGCTTTCGAGCAGCGCGGCGTCGGCGAACTTGTTGTGGCAGTTGTGGGTGAGGGTCGAGTAGCGGACACCCAAGGCATGGTAGCGTCGGAGATTGGCGACAGAGTTGCCGATTTGATGCAGACCCTCGACGCCCAGAGGGGAGATGAGCTGGCCCTTCTTCCATGCCTTCAAAGCGGCGCCGCTGTTCGCGCTTGAGGAGAAGTCCTTGGGATAGGAGTCCTTGATGCGGGTCATGAGATCGATTTGGTCAAGAGTCCACTGGACGCCTACGTTCACAAGTGTTAGAGTTATAAATTCCAGATCATTCAAACGGTCAAGACTTACTCTCAGCATAGTTCTCATCAGAGAAGTCGCTGCCATTAGCAGGGCAAGGAGTGTAAACGCTCCAGAAAGCACCGCCGTTCTGGCCCTTGCGAAGCCTGGGCAGATCAACGTGGCCAACAAGACCTCCGTTCTCAAAGGGCTCAGTGAAGTTCTTCTCGTAGATGTGGTTGTTGAAGAATCCTCGGACGAGAATAGGGAGGTCATTGTGGCCATCTACGATGACGGTCGGTCAGCACTTCTCATCGTGTCGTACAGAATGCACAGGGTGGCCGTACCTATCAATGGAGTATGAGATAGAATATTGTGAGCCCTCTCCTCGACGGTAAGGGGCACGCCCCATGGCTTTCTCATTTGATGATAGCATGACTTCATAGGACGGACACCAAAGGTTAGTGTCACGAGCCACAGGGCGAAACAAGCAACAACGGCTTTCTTTGCAGGAGACGGAGTCTTGCGAGGAGGCAACTGGGCCTCATCGCCAGTCTCGTCACACATGAACTGTTTCTTTTCATCCATGGCGTTGGGTGTGACCTGGGTGACTAGCAATCTTAGGTCTGTGTCTCACGGCTATGTTATTCGTCAGCGCTGCTTGCCTCATTACACCATCATAAGTGCGAATAAGGAGTTGGCGATGTCATATGAACCCAGACAACTTACTGTCAATAGGGTGTCTGAAGACCGCCTCAAAAGGAGATACTGCCTTGTTGTGAAATTCAATGATCCTTCACAGAGGGAAGCCGAGGGGTTCAGACTACAGGCATGTTGCAATACATTTGGTTGATTAGGAATCACGTCACAGAGTGCCCGGGGTCAAAGCTCCGAGCTGCGATTGCGTGAGACTCTTATCTGCGAGTTGATCCCGGCGATAAGGGACCGTTTGGGAAGCTCCCAAAATCCTATCTGAGGACTTACTTAAGTTTGGACACGTTTGTAAGAATTTCTTATAGTCCCAATAGCAACGTTCATTAAGATTTCGGACTTTTGTAGATACTGACAAATCATGGATTGATTTACAGCCTGGTCATAGTACATTCTACAGTTCCTGATAGATCCAGTTGACTTAGTACGAATACCTTAGCCCGAGCTTCAGCAAGCCGTGCGAAAGTCAGCCTAGCAATTGTCGTAAGTTCTTGCGTAGCGTGAATTAAGGCCCAAACGATATCGTTTTCTCGAGAAATTGTTCTCTTGAGAATCTTCTTGAGTCTACAATGAAATACATGGTTGCATAGTTGGACAGATAGATGATTTTTCTTACTTTAGGACAGTGCATCAGAATCCGAAAGTAGGGGCAAGCATTGACTAGGTACATACACTAGAGTGGGCTTGTGGATTAGAATTTCGGGAACGGACCTCATAGACGGGAAGCTCCCAGTCATGACTTTACAACTTCGGATGATGGCTGGCTCTTGCGTTCAGTTGAGCCTTCCCCAGCCAACTCAGCGATGGAACGATTCCCATATGCTGGGCTGGGTGGGTATTGCCTGACAGACAAGATTACGGACTGTATGGGGCAATCGTTGGGTTTCGTCCTCGCTAAAACATCCTGCGTAGATAGGCCGCAGACCAGCCCTTGGTAATTATTAACAACGGCCTTTTGTCGTCTAGGGAACCGTCCCAGTGGCAACGAGGGTTCTCAGGGGTTAGAGGAAGGGGCTTGGTGATCGGCGACAATTCTCTTCAGTTTCAACTTAAGGCGGCAGTGGTCCATGGAAAGTCTCGTTCAGCAACAAAGAAGTGAACAAAGACAATAACCAATTCTGACGTCTTCAGAAACATTCCCTCTGGATAGTGACGAGGAAACCTTATCCCGGACTGCATAAATTGTGAAGATGATGCTTAATACGGCGCCAAATTGGCGGCGGCAACTGGTTTGGGAGGTCAGCCCTGTGAGAAGGGGGCTGAGAACGTCTTTGGGGTTCGCTTCGCAGGTGAGTGAATGAGCCGAGTCTCTCCAGTCCAGCTGGGAATAGCCCCATCGTTCTGCAACAGAGACGAATGCAGGGGGTTCACACAAGCTGTCCTTGCCCTGACATCGGTAGCTTTCTGCTTTGCTTCTGCTTGGCTGCCTCATTCAGGGTCATTTGCTTTGAATGGAGCATGACGGGGGGCAATTGGGGCCCTGACCAGTCACACACTGGGAAAGGAGATGAGTGGGGATCGGGCAGTGGCTGGAGCATGATGTATTTTTGGCTTCAGATGGCTCCTCCCATCATCATCGGCTTTTCAGCCAAGGTCCCAACTCCCCAGGCCTATCCGAGTCGCCCAGTGAGGCCGGCTAAGGGTCTGCCGCCTGAGGGCCAGCTTTCGTTCGATCGTTCGTCATGAGGCAGGGGGGCCAATGGAATGGAATGCCACGTCTCCAAGTTCAAACTTGAAGGACCAAGGCAAGGCACGCAAGCAAGGCCCCAATGACCGTTGCCATTGCAGCATTGCTAGACTGCTTTACGGATAGTGTCTCTGTAGCCCCGGTTCGTCGGGCAGATTGTTGGCAGTGGCAGAGGAGGAGCCCTCCAAGGGCATGAGGTATGCGTACCTACAGCAGGAGAATACCATGCTGCTGACCTTTGATCTAGGTTGATGCCGTGTGATGCCGTGTCACCGGGTTGGCTGCAGGAGGTGGATGATGAAGTGGGAAGAGGTGCCGCACGTCGTAAAGCTTCACTGATGGCCCTGCGGAGACCGAGGGACGCACAGCTGGACGCACA